TAATCTTTATTAGTACTAGTTTAACCGACTAGTATAATTATATATTCGTAAAGTTATAAATTATTATATTAGCCCAGGGCCCTCTTAGAGTAGCCTATGAGCTCTCTTAGAGTAGCCCAGCGAGCCCAGCGGTCTCATGGGCTACGTAAGACGCAGACTTACCTTGACAGCCCAGGGCAGCCCAGGGCTCTCAGGGTCGCGCGGGAAAATTTGCCGATGATATAAGATAGATTAAATACGACTAAGATAATACTTAATTTCTTTATTCGATGATTAAAGAATAATATTTTTAGTATTTTATCTCGGGAAATATAGCTAAAATCTAATCTTTAGTAGAATATTAGTAGTTATAAGCTCTAAGTAATTAAAAATTCTTTAGCGATTATTAATGCGAAAACTTACGAGACGACTCACTTATAAATTATCTTATCTAATACTTAAATCGATATCGAGAATCGTTTCGCTATCGCCTTAGAGATCTATAAGATAGTTATATAAGAACCGAAGCGTAGTGAAGATCTAGAGGCGTTGAAGAGCTTAAGTTTAAAGGGATTAAATAAGAGATAATTAAATAACTTTATAGAGCGTTTAAAGAGTATAAAGAAGAGTTAATATTTCTAAGAGAATAGACGAAGATTATAGTTAAGTCTTAAGCGAGGTCGTTAAGGAAGCGAGCGATAATAAAAGAAATATAATGGAAGAAGTTTAAAGTAGAGAATAGCTTTATGATTAGCTAAGACGTCGACGCTAGACTAAGATTCTTCTTATATTGTAACAGAGCACTTCAGGGTTTGGCGTGCACGTGCAACAACGCACAGAGGCCTGTCCAGCAGATCGGGAATCGGGAACGCGTTTCTGGTTGATACTGACAACAACACCACCAACACCACCCAGAGAGGCAGCGGCTAGGGCTACGAACACCTAGCACAGCGGCAGCATCGAGGAACAGGACAGGACTGATAAAACACTCTCAGGATTTAGGTAGACGGCACTAAAAGCCATGGAATTCATAATACTCTGCTCAATCTGTAAAAAAATGAATGGCACACTGCCAGCACTGTAAACTGTTCCGTACCTCCTCTCTGCCAGCCCATTTAGGTTTGACATGTGACTAGACAACTTTTTCACCTTGCTACCGCTCTACCAGCCCAGTATAGCCCATCACAGCACAGCCACCTTGTCTTGTTATATCCCTCCCTCTCCCATCTATAGGACGACCTCGTCCGACAGTACACAGTATACTTAAGAATTGTCTAACCCTATTGTTACCTAGGGGGCGGGTCCGCAGCACTGTGAGAAGAAGCTCGTAACGGGGGCAGATTCTCCTCTCTTATTGGGTCTAGAATACGAACTGAAACACCACTAGTAGGTGTAATAGATCTGCTCGGTCTATATGAGGACACCGAAGACGCTCTTGACATTCCGCTTTGATAACTACTCTGTCTTAGAGTCGAGCCTATTTCCATACTAATGTTACTCGGTGGCTCTGGGGTTCGCTCTTAGAATCCTCCCTCAACTAACTGAGTAACGCGAGGGAAGAGAGAGTTCACTCTTAGCGTTGAGGTTCTATCCCAAGGGTCATTACTGTTATGTTCTAAATCTATTCTCTCTTCGCTATATAAGTCGATATGAGCCTATAATATCTGGTTCGTATTCTCTTGGTTGATGAGATCAACAATACTTTTATCTAGAGTGATCATCACAATAGGCTTTAATAGCTGCCACTCACTGGTTTCTGCGCGAGACGACCATAATAATGGTATCTTTTCATCTCTAATAATAGCTTAATGAATATCCTAAATGAGTTGAACTCGATGGGAAGTGTCGATTTTAACTTCTTTAATAGCTTTAATACCGTTTTCCATAAGAGCTTTGGCCTAAAAGATGATAAATATTCCGTAATTATAGCTATTTAGTTGTTTATTGACATTGACATTCTGAAATGTGAACTATCTACCGTCTTCGAGCTTTACTCAAACTTAAGAGTTAAGATACTCTAAAATGATCGAAATCATTGAGTCTTTTGCCGTGCGCTTCCTAATCGAATCTATGGCGTAAACGATTCGAGAATTGGAATCGACGTATACTAATCACTAATGGTTGATCTCTCGATAGGGGATTAGCTTCTTCTATATAAACTTATCTTATCGTCACGATCGCGGCTAGATTATAAACGTAAATGTTCCTCGAACGTTATATAAGTAGATTATATTCCATTCGTCTTCCACTTAGTGCTTTCGGTAGGCCGCGATACCTCTAATAACGTAATTTATAGATAACTAACTATTATAATCTACACTAAGTAAAAGATATTCTAATTCTTTCTTATTAATTATATATTCTTCTAAGTAGTAATTCTCGCCGCGAAGAGATTTCTTTACTCCGCGACTATACTCTTTAAATTTCTTTAAAGCGTCTCGAATTCGCTGAATTTCTAACGTATCTTTTTTAGTCTTTACTCTTTTTATAATTTAAATTACTTCGAGAGTAGCGTAATACTAAAGAGATTATCTCGAACTAACATTAGTCGGCAATACTTCGATTAATCTTTAGAATACTCGTGTAATAGCTTTAAATCCGTACTAAATTACTTTATTCGCTTATCGCTTCGTTAAAGTACCTTTACCGGTATTGTATCTAACTCTCTTAGACCAGTCTATAATAATCTTCTATGCTAGTCTTTCTACATTAAAAGGATTTCTTAATAAATTTTATTTATATAGTCTCATATTGAAGGGCGAAGGTAACTCTTAAAACTCTTCACGGAGATGTTTACTATTGGTAATGATTTCTTTAGCTTCCGTGAACGCTTGTTCGGTGAACGAGAAGTGTATTCGCTTAGGAGCTCTCACTTCTATCTCTGAAGATATTCTTAGAACTAACGGTATTAACCGCGGTCTCTTTCTAGGCTAAATCACTATTTTAATGTATTCGTTTCGAATTTCTAATTACTTTTTAGTCGCTTCCTTAATTGCGACTTCTCTTTCTTTAATTTTAGTGAGCTTTTCTATTATAGACTTATTCTTAAAGCAATCTAAGATATTTCGCTTTTAATATCTCTACTCTTCTTTCGGCCATTTCTTAGGTACGGTCGGTAAAGGCGGAGATTTTATCGCTTATTCTTAAGAGTTCTTTAACTAATTCTCGGTCTCGCCTTTCGCTGATATCTTACTAGATCTCTTCTCTATAGATTTCTTAGTAGACGGTTTTGTAGTTAGTTTCTTTCCTATAATGAGGTTCTATTCGACTTAACTGATTTAGCTAATCGGTATCT